ATCACAGAGGACCTAGTAAAAGGACAGTCACAAAAGTGTGGGCGGGTGTAAGGAACCCATGAGGAATAGGGTGGCACCCCTGGGCTGGTAAGAGTAGGGCCTTTCTCCCCTTGAGTGAAAGCATGAGAGGAGCTGTCATCCAGAGCTGCAGGAATTGAGCTTGGCCTTAGCTGGAGGGGATTCGGCCATCCTGTGGTGACACCAAAGGCAGTTGCTCAGGAAATACATGCTATGACCTCATTCTCCTCTCCCTCTGACCTTGTTTTGGGATTCTGCAGTGGCCAAACCCACCCTGAAGCTAGAGGTCAGGGGACCCCCATGCTCTAACCCTTATGGTTGAAGGTAAAGAGGGTTGGGAGTATCTGCAGAAGGGCAGACAGAGCCCTCTGCATGGATTACCTATTTAATCCTTTTAAAATAATTACTATTCCAGTTTCTCATAAAAGGAAACTGATTTGTAAGCAATGGAACAATTATATATTGGAACATATATATATATGTGGGTATCTTTATATACATACATTGCATATTTGTATATTTTTATTGGTTTTATTAAAAAATATGAAATGTTTTTTGTAGAAAATTAGAAATACAGCTCCTTCCTTCCCGAAAGAAAGTATTAATCAACTAGCTTTATCATCAGAGAGCATATCTTTCAACATATTTGCTTATTTATTCATCATCTTTGATACATTTTTATTTTATTATCTTTCATTTCACTTTATGTATGAAGGCATGTGTGAAGATTTCAATGTGTCATGTACTGTTCTACATGCTTTATAAATATTAACTCATGATTCTCATAACAATCTTATGAGATATATTATTATGCCCATCATATAAATGAGAGAGATTAAGTAATTTGTCTAGATTCACATATCCAGTGAATGATGGAGCTCACAGTCAAATTCAGGCAATCTGGTTTAAGTACCATTCTTAACCATTCTGCTCCACTGACTCTCACATACATAAGTACTCTCATATGTACATTACAAATCATTATACATTCCCATTATTTTGCATCTAATTAGATGTCTTCGGCATGCATTCATATAGCAGGTTTTTTTCTTTATTATCCTAATCCTAGGTAGGCATGGAAAGAAACATTTCAGCAAGGAATAGAACAAGCAAGCAAGAAGCAGCTAAAAAGTCAGTTAGAAAAACATGTACTCCCCAACACACATACACACACACACACACTGAAGAAACCAAAGGAATAAAGTTCATATTTCTACTCAAATTTTGAATCATTCAACATGTAGAGTTACCTTCACATGCGTCATTTAAGTAAGACTCAATATATTTAATTGGCTCTGTGTGTTTATTAATTGAATAGGAGCAGAAATAATTCATCTGCCATCAGTTAACTGCTCTGAGCATTTGATATGTACAAGAAGCTTTGGGGACTTAGGGGTATGTAGGATAAGTTGTACAAGAAAGATGTGTATGTACAGAGGAAGTGTTATCCCCTGCTTCAGATTCATATATTGAAGTCCCTAAGCCTCCATGTGATGGTGTTTTGAGATGGGGCCTCTGCAAGGTAGTTAGGATTCGTGCCCTTGTAAGAAGCAACACCAGAGAGCTTCCTTGCTCGTGCTCTCTCTCCCCACCCTCAGATAAGAGGTCAAGTAAACACACGGGAAGAAGGCAGCCACTTATACACCAAAAGAAGAAACCTCCACATGAGATCTGCCTTGATGTCACCTTGACCTTGGACTTCCCAGCCTCCGCAATTGGGAGACATAAACTTCTGTTGCTGAAGCCACCCAGTCTGCTGTGCTTTGTTGTTGCAGCTGAGCACACTAACACAAGGAAGATAATTTTAAAAAGTAATTTAAGTCAGTAAGTGCTTAGCACCAAGTGAAGGATGTAATCAATATTGCAGAGGAGAAAGGGTTCTGAGCAGTTGTGTTGGGATGGGCAAGGTCCCAGGGCTGGGTGGGACTGGGGAGAAGAAAGAGGCTGCAGACTCATGGACAAGAGTACTTAATGACTGTGTGGATTCTCAACATGCCTGCTCGTGAGCCACGTGACTGATGAGCTGATGGAGCTCCTCTCAGGACTCTGTATTTGCCCATCTCTCTGACCAGCATGTTCTCCCCTTCCCCTAATTAACACCTACTCAGCCCTGCGACTCAGCTTAAGTGTGTCATCCTAAGGAAAACCTTTGCTTACTCCCAGGCTTGGTTGTGGTCCCCAGTTTTAGAATTCTCTGATGTCTTCTCCCAGAGCTCTTTCCATAGGGATATTTAACTTTTTTGTTTGTATAATTTTTAAAAAATGTTTTTCTGCTCCACTGAACTGCAAACTCTTTAAGGCCAGTTTGGGCGTTTTGCTCCCTATTATGGTCCCAAATCCTTGCACAGCCGTAGTAGGCATTAAGTGCTAAATAAATGTTCATTGATTTACTATTCCCCCACAAAAGAGCCCTCCCCTGCTGTAACAGTGACATATTTAAAAGATCTTTTTTAGGTCTGAGGTAAGGACCACGTATATAATAAAAAAAAATATCTCGAGCTCTCTGAGGCTATGTTTTAAAAATAAGCTGGTTGGCTCTTTAGAGCACTAATTTGTTTCTGATTTACAGACATATGAGAGGATGGAAGCTCACTGTCAGATGGCAAAAGAAACTGGGTGGAATTGATGGCTATCAATAGCTACACATGAGCTGGGGTGTGATTCAGCTGCTACTTCAAACTTCTATTATGAAACTTACAAGAAATTTTGTTCTTGGGGCCTGAGCCCCTTAAGTATTTAGGGAGAGAAGCGGGGAGCTAAGCTGAGAATGTTTCTTCCTTTTCTCTTGGGTTCTCTATGAGAGTTTTTTGACTATACTTAGATGCCCCCATTTCCAGCTTCCTCTGGTACCAGATGTTTGGGAGAAAAGGCAACATCCATTTTCATAGACATCTGTTTAATAGAGTTCCGAAATCCCCACTCTGATGGTTGTGAAATTAGCTGCTTCTGACCTATTTCAGGGGAAGTCTCCCATCTTTCTGAGGTGACCTTAGTCGTGGCAATGCTACTCAGACTTGCATGGCTCCAGCTCCAATCCCCGTCCTGCCTCCACAGAGCACGCGGCCACTCGCAGTCGCTCCGTCCGGATCCTGGAGAGGAGAAAGCCTGGCACGGCAAACGTCACTTTCTCCTTTGGATGCTTGTAGAACCGCAAGGCCTTCCCTAACCAAAGCCCTTCGTGTAGGAGCTAAAAAAGGCCAAATTAATATTGTCAGTGGTTAAGGGATCAAAAAGAAGACTCAGTATACTGACTGTTAATAATGTCTAAGAGATCTTTCTTCATACAGCAGTCCCTTTCAATATCTGCCTCATACTCAAAATTATAAACTGGCCGATGAACTGTTTTACCAAAAATATGTCATGAACAGATATGACTCAAAGACATCTCAAAGCCATGTCTATGTGCTGGAGCACTTCCTTTTACCATTTGTCACTTATTCTATATGAAATGTAACTAATAATAAAGTATTATTAATTAAAAGCCTATAAGCAACCAGATGGATTTCTCAAAACCCTATATTAAATTCCTGTATTTTATATAGTCCCTTTGATCTTCACTTTATACTCTCTATTCGTGGGCTACAAAATTTTAACAAGCTTAGGAGTATGTTTTCCCAGTTCATAATATATTAGAAACAATGTATCAGAATGAGCAAGAAGTCACAATGATGATCATATTGTGATAAATGATGCAGAGAAATGAGAAAAGGAAGATTTAACAACTAGAGAAACAAACCCTGCAGTAGCTGAGGGCCATTTTGTATGGGCAAGTGACCCTCTCCACCCCTATTGGAGAGCATTTCTATATCACAGCCCTGCAGGCTAACATCAGGTCCACGGTGTTGACTCTAAACTGTCAAACAAAATAAAGAGATAAAATTATGATAGGTAGTCTCTGTTTAAGAGGTAGAGAAGCATACCATCTATTTTAGAAATAATTTCAAACAAAACAGTTCAAATAAAATACATGCAAAGGCTCTAGTGGATAAGTATGGTTACCAGGAAAATTCATTTATGTGAAACTGCATATTTTATGATAAAGTCAAATAAGTGAAGTGAGTTATATGGTGAGAGCTGAAGAGTGTAGGTAATACAGTCTTGATTTCATAGATATACTGAAATATTCATGAGATAATATTTCCTCAAATAAAATTTAATAATAGTGTATTGTCTCTGTTCCTAACATGGTTGGAGTTAGGATTGGAAAGAGGGAGACAAAAATAGGTTTCTATCCCATATGCCAAATGTTTTCACCTGATTAGTTACCTCTAGTTGGGACGCTGTGAGGAAGATAAATTCTCCAGCCTGTGTAAACTTCAGACAGTCTGATCAACAACAGATCAAAATTATTTAGTTAGCAAATGTTTTCAATAAAATGGAGGAATCACATTTAAACAACCAAAAGCAAGGGAGGAAAACCTTAGCATCCTAAAAATTTGGCTCATCATATTTCAGTGTTGTATTTAGCAGATAGAAAGGTACTCAGATAATGCAAGCATTTATTTAGACTTACCTGGTTTCTTGATAGAAGACACCAAGGCTATTTTCTCCCTTGTTACTAGATTCACCTGTGTCTGCCTTCTTGGGTATTGTGGAGACAAGTGCTTTGGAATTACCCAGAGAGATGAGCCGATTAACAGTTTGTTTTTCAAATATTTCAGTGAAAGGTTTAAAAAATTTTATTTGTAAGGTTGTAGGCAGATACTTAGTGAAGCATGGTGAGTTGAATATCCCTTCCAGATGCATGAAATTAGCACCAGGGACCAGAGACCTCAAAATAAAACTATTCCAAGCTAGTCAGAAGTCCTCATGGTTTCTTACTTACTTCTGCTTTCCAAATTTCACTCCTGGGAATGATTCATGTTTGTCTATTGAACACAATGTTTTGAGGTTTCTCTCAGTCTCATAGCCCGTGATAGAGGCCATGAGAAGCTGGCTGGGCTCAGGCAGTGTCTCATCTATCATCAGTTTGGGGAGTTTTGCATAGGTTATTCTAAGTCCCAGGATCCCAATCATTACACATCTTTTTCATGAATCCTCTATCTATCCTGTGCAAAAAGTATCTATCATAATGTGAGAAATGAAACTTAGCAACGACAATGGGTCCCTCTGAGAATTCAAAGAATCTTTGGGAGTGCTGTGACAAAGATTTGCTAATGGGAAAAAAGATATTTTCACTTAGAGATGTCCCACAATACTCCTATCTGTACTGGGTCATTGTTTCCTTCATGTCTCCAGACCACAAATTCCATGGGTGCTCCTTAATTTTAGGTCCAAGCCTCTACTGGTAATAATGGCTTCCCTTTACATCAGTTCTTTTCCTAGCTTCAACTTTACTGATGAGAACGTATTTTGTCTTCCATATCTGGTTCACCTGCTCTGGGAGGGAGCAGGTTCTTGGAATCCACTCCCGGTGGGACTCTGTGGAATATGAGAGGCCATCTTCTCCCTACTCCTAGACAGTGACTGCATCATCCTAGCAGTGAACTTGAATTTTTGGGCACTGCCTGTCCAACTGTGCATAGCTGGTTTCTACCCGTGACTGGTGGAGGATTATGGCTCACAGTGGTGATGGTAAATAATTACTGAATAATTCCTTAAGAGCTGATAGTGTTCAAATCACTGTCATATGTTTGATCTATTGTGAACTCAAAGCAGTCTTTTGTAGAAGATAGTACAGGTATTAATAGCTTTATCATCCTTATTTTACAGATAAACTGAAGAGAGTGAGTTATCTGAAATCACACACCTATGAGTTGGCAGAAAGCAGAGTGGACTGAGGCTTTCTGCATCCTCCAAATTTTCTACTTTTGTCTGCTGCCTCCCTTGGCCATTCTAGAGCCTCATGTGATGCAAGGATATGATGACAAAAAGAGCAACAATATCGTCTCTTGGATGTGAAAGGGACAGTATGCATCCCACAAAAGGCAGGTATGAAATCATCCATCTTCTTGGCCCTCTTGTGATGGCGGACATTTCCAGGTGTTTGGGATTCATGAGTAAGGAGGCCTTGCAAGAGGTAAAACTAGGTTGTCTCTCTGGCAATGAAGACTTTGACCTGGTTGTCACCAGGCTCTATCTAATCATGTATAATGAACAGATTGATAAGATCCTTGCATTAAAGGGTAGAGAACACCAGAAAGTGCCTACAAATGTGTGATGCACCAAATTAAAAATCTGTTATGTGCCCTTCCTTATTTTAAATTTCATAAAATGACTGAGCTTATTTATGTCTTTCCTTTGGAATAGAAATTCAGAATGAAACTGGTAAAGACAAAGCACAGATGGCTGTGTTGCCAGGACTCGAGCCTCCCTGCTCACCCACATGGTCCAGGTGGATTTCAGAGGAGTCTTCACTTCCACACTCCCTCCCGTGGCCCTGCTGGCTTAATTAGAGGGGCCAGCCTGGTCTTTCTCACGGGGCCCTGTGGGAATGCCCTTTGATGCTGGTGGGGATCCTAGGGCTGACTGAGAGGATAGAATGAGAAGCTGGCTCCAGGGGAGTATGTGATCTCAGAGCTGGGTCACGGTGAGAGCAGGCACCACCTGGGAGGATAGTTTCATGCTAGCTGAGGCGGTCAGTCTCCACCAGGCTAGCTGCAGTCAAATGCAGGCGTTTACCTTAGTTAAACCTTGAGTGACTGCCTGGGTACCAGCAATGAGCATACTTGGTGAGCCTGGGTTCCGTACCCTCATGCCTGGTCAGCTTTCTGAAGCAGTAGGATTGCTCAGGTTCTCTGTTCAGGCTTCCTGCTGAAACTGTTACAGAAAACGAGCGTACTGTAATGGAGCCCAGAACCTGATTCGTGGCTAAACCATAGGACGGCTTTAACCCCACCCCATTCTTACCACCCCGCCTCCTCACACCTGTCACTTAGATCTGAGAGCACTGGCCTTTTCCCTTACTGTCTGTTTTAACTGGGAGAAGAAAGGGAAGAAATAAATATGCAGAGGGAGGAAGCAGTTGAGGCAGGAATTAGTGGGACATAGGCAGCCTCAGAATTTGTGGCGCTTGTCAGGGGAAGGCAGGAGGGAACTAGGATCGAGGCCTCGCAGGAAATAAGGAGCCACATCCCTGACATCAAGAGAATTCAGCCTGAAAAACAAGGGGGTCTGTCTAGCAACAAGCTCCTCCCAATCCTGTAAACCTCTTTCTTTGTGGTTTATAAACCCTAGACGCTGCCGCTCTAACGGCCTCCGGTCTTGGAGCCCCTCCTGTTTAGAGGGAGTCTTTTTTTCTTTCCTTTTCACTCCTCATTAAAAACGTTGCTGGCTGCTCCATACTCTTGTCTGCTGGCTGCATTCTTCGTCGCCTCCAAGACACAATCCTGGGACAAACAGCATCTCAGCTGGTAACATGGTGAAGAGTTAACAGCACAGGAGCAAAAGGAGGGATGGAAAATGATGCAAGTTTCTGACTTGCTTGTATATCCGGGGTAAAACAAATATCAAAACAAGTCCCCATGCCAAACAAAGATCACTTTTCTTTCCTCTGTATCCTCAATCTCAGACAATCAAGGTTCCTTAAGTACAGCCTTTACTCTTACTCACAGACATACACTCAAGATTTATCTCACTCCCTCCAGTACTTGGAACACCATTACTGAGGACAGTGAGGTTCCCAGGAGTCCTTGGTGAGGAAGCAAAGTGCTCTTCCCTCGGGGAGCTTCAAGGCATGCTTTCCACTCTCCTGTGCCAATAAATGATGGTTGTAGTGTATACAAGGCCAATCTGCACCCTGAACCGTAGTATATATGGAACTGACCTCCCTTTGAGATAGTGTCATATAAACAGAACTGGCCATGTGAACTGTATCATATACACAGGTCTTATATATTCCATCTGAAGTCAACAGTGTATACAGGGACAGCCTCTTTTTGGGGTACTTTAGTAGGGAGAAATAATGTTGCAGAATAAGGTAAAAAGGAAGGAATGAGCTAAATTAGATGAACCTCTTCATCTCTTTTTGGTCCAATTTTTAAGAAGCAAAAAAAAATTAAGGAAACTATAATACTGGAACAATTTCTGCTATGAAACAAGGACTCAGAGTCCTATAAATACATATTGTTCATGATTGACATATAGTTCAATGATTGACACTCAGAAACCCCATATAAAAAGCCTCTGGAGGAAAACAACAAATTAAGGTCCATTTCAATTTCAGTGTATGAAAAATCATGGTGTTTCACCTCCAAAAAGGTGACTTCAGAAATACTTTTGGCTCTGCAGGGCTGGGAGGATTAGAGTCTTGTTTAAATCAAACAGCGTTAGTGACAGTCAAATTGTGTCATTTAGAATTACTGCCAGGAAATACCGAAGACCGTCCCCAATGTGGTCTGCAGGCTGTTTTGGAAACATTTGCTTCTGTAGCAATGCATGTTGCTCTATATGATCTGCATGAGTTGTTTCCATTTTCAAAATATAGTACTCTGCTGGGACAGAATTAAAGGAATAAATTACTTTCTCTAGTTAATGCCTGAGGTCAGACACCTTCCTGAATCAAGTATTGTTACCGGCAGGATTGTCTAAAAGCGGAATGCGTGACTCATGAGCACATATGGCAATGATATTTAAAACAAGGTCTGAGTGTGGAGTTCCATTTTTACCTATGGTGTCATTTGCACTAATGAGGGCTTCGCAATGAAGACCAATTCAGCCTGGATAGTTCTAGCTTTGCTTAAGGGAGGAATGAAACATCTATTATAGGAAGTCATATCACTGGGTTATTTTCATGAAAATAGAAAACAAAAACAGTGTTAACTTTTTCAAATAGAGAAAAATAGAAAAATATCAACTTACTGTTTCTTACTGACTTGAATTTTTTTAAAACTATGTTCTGTTAGAAACAGGAGGACTGGAACATAAGGCATGATGGGATTCGAGCAAAGCATGGGTTCAGAGAGGACCTTTGCAAGTCATCTAGGCCTAGAATCCATAGGGATACATCAATCCCAGCGGAGTTGGAATCGGATGTCTCATCCAAGGAGAGGGCACAGTAGTGTGGCGATCCCCCAGGCTATGTTTGAACACTTAGAGGGCAAGTGGACATCAACATGGCTCTGGAGATGGGATAGTGGGAGTGGGGAGAGACACTGGTTTCCTGGAGAAGCCCATTAATAAGATCCACAGGGCACTCAGAGCCTCCATGAACAGTTAGTCCTTCCCAAGGTTTCACTCCAATGGCTGTTGCCATCTCTCTCTCTGCTTTTAGTTTGCACCTTTCCCATCCCACAGGATCAGAGCAGGATCAAACCTGAGCGAAGGCACTTTCCAATCATGTGACATCGGGGCTGGGAAGGAGATGAAGCAAGTGAGGTGAGTCCTGCAGGCACAGTCAGATTTTGTTTTCATCTACAACTTTATGTATCGTTCATCATGGGTTTTGGGAGATGACCTTTCTAAAAATGTTTGAAAAATATTATTTACCTTGATGACTGAGTTTTGTTAAATACCTTTCAATTTTGTGCCTGAGCTGAGGGTCTCACTTGTGTCAACTTAGGTCCATGTTTTGACCCTCATTTTCTCTTAAAATATGATTTAAGCAGCAGCAATCCAAACTGATGTTTCTCTAGTGGTTGCTCATGGAGTTTAGGGAACAGACTTTCTGCTCCCATACCTAGATGAGATTCTTTTTTTTAGTGGCTTGACATTGCTAGGATAGTACTGTCCCTAAAGGACACATATTTTTAAATATTACATTTGTTCCTGACAAGAAACCATAGTCAGCTTCGTATATTGATTGATTTGAGCAAATACTATGTCTCTTGACTCAGATTTTTGAGTAAATTATTTGTATCTGAGATGCTCAAGTAAGCCTTTACTGTTTCGAGGCTCATTTTTCTCTACTTTGTAACCATTGGGCCTTCTTTTTTCTGAGAATGATTGTTTTCCTTTTTGAATTTTCCAGCTAAGTTTTCCTTCTTTCTCTTATAACCTCTGCTCTGTTCCTGCCTTCCCTGACCACACACCCAGAGAGACAGTTCATTTGCTGTGGGCCCTCTTTTCATGCCCTGCCTTCTTACGAGACACCACCTCACACGCGGACCCAAGTCTTTCTCTTCGTTACTCTGCAGCCTTCTGTGTTTCCCTTTTTTTTGCCTGATGCTCAATGACAAAATAGCATTGAAAACATTTTGGCCTTTTTTCCTCCAACTTTATTGAGGTTTAATTGACAAAATTGTTTACATTGAAATGTATAATGGGATGATTTAATATACATATACATTCTAAAATGATAACCACAATCAAGTTAATTAACACATCTATCACCTCACATAGTTACTGTTGTGTGTATGTGGTGAGAACACTTAATATATAGTTTCTTAGCAAATTCCAAGTACACAAGACAGTGTTATTAACTATAATCACCATTATGTATATTAAAGCCCTAGAATTTATTCATCTTGTAGTTGCAAGTTTGTACTCTTTGACCAATGTTTTTTTCTTTTCTCCCATTCCCCAGACCCTGGCAACCACCATTCTGCTCTCTATTTCTTTGAGTTCTACTCTTTTAGATGCCACATGTGAAATTGTATAGTATTTGTTTTTGTCTTGTATAGTCCACTTTGCATAATATGAATAATGACTCCTCCAGGCTCGTCCATGTTGTTGCAAATGGCAGAATTTCCTTCTTTTTCATGGCTAATAATACTTCATTGTATATATATATATATATATTTTTTTTTCTTCCTATTTCTTTATCCATTCATCCATCCATGGTTAGATTGTTTCCATATGTTGGCTGTTGTGAATACTGCTGCATTGAATGTGAGAGTGCAGATTACTCTTCAGGATTTCATTTCCCTTGGGTATATACCCAGACATGAGATTTCTGGATCATATGGTAGGTTTATTTTTAATTTTTTGAGGAAACTCCATCCTGTTTTCTATAATGGCTGTGCCGGTTTACATTCCCATCAACAGTGTACAGAGGTTCCCTTTCCTCCACATTCTTGAAAAAGCATCTTAGTATTTTAATCCTTTATTTTTTAAAGTTAAATTCAAATATAAATACTTTTGTATATTGTCAAAGGATGACTGCTTTTCATTTAAATGAGATAGAAGAAAAAGGGATGTAACTGAAAACAGTTCTCTACCTATGCAATTAATCTTTGTTCTGCTCTATAAATATCTAAAACTTGAAAACAAAGAGATGAACCATTCTTTCTAGATGCTGGTGATGCTCAGAGCAGAATCTCATCAACTGATTGTTTGGAAGATCCTCTAAAGTAGTTTGAGTGGTTGGTGGATGAGAGTCCATTGTGGGTTATTACATTAGACTGCGGACGGCATGGTTTTACTGATGAGACAAAGAGACCACCACATGTCCTTCTGCAGGGAATTTATTGCTGTTCTTCAGGTTAATGTTTTTGATATCAGAATATTTGTTACTGCCAGTGAGGTAATGTTTAAATAAATCAATTGTGCCACTTTATTATGCACTTGTAATGAAGTCCAGGCCTTCACATATCCCTTGAGCTTAAGTTTAGCTCTCAGAGATGGCTGTAAGCAATTTCGCTGCCTTCCTCCTTTTCTGGCCTGCTGGAGATAATAAATGGCATGGTGTTGGGGAAATAGGGTTGTTCTGTGGGCTACATACCTGTGTGATGACGCCCCTTCTGCCACTGCTGGCTGGAATTCCTTTCCTCACTGTGCTGGCATCCTCCACACATACTAAGGCAAATCTGTCCAAGTGACCCAGACCTTTCCAGGTCCAAGTGGAAGCCAGGGAGGCACTTAAGTGGCTCCCTCTGCTCGCCTTTCCTGGAGTTTAAGGTTTATATATACTTATAAGTTACTGAGAATAGATCCCATACTTTGAAGATTTGCATAAAGGCTAGAAGGTTTTCTCCAGGATTGACCTGGAAAAGATAATGGTCAAAGAGATTAAGTGTATTTGTCCTGTTCTCATAA